ATAGAATCATAGAATGGTTTAGGTTGGAAGGGACCTTGAAGATCATCGAGTTCCAATCCCCCTGCCATAGGCAGGGACACCTCCCACTAGACCAGGTTGCCCAAGGCCATGTCCAGCCTGGCCTTAAACGCCTCCAGGGATGGGGCCTCAACAACCTCTCTGGGCAACCTGTTCCAGTGCCTTACCGCCCTCAAAGTGAACAATTTCTTCCTAGTGTTTAATCTAAACCTGCCCTCTTCCAGTTGAAAGCCATTCCCCCTTGTCCTATCACTACATGCCGTAGTAAAAAGTCCTTCCCCAGCTTTCCTGTAGGCTCCCATTAGGTACTGGAAGGCTGCAATAAGATGTAAGAGGTGCTCCAGCCCTCAGATCACCCTCGTGACTCTCCTCTGGACACACTCCAGCAAGTCCATGTCTTTCTTATGTTGAGGACTCCAGGGCTGGATGCAGTACTCCAGGTGGGGTCTCACAAAAGTGGAGTAGAGGGGCAGAATCACCTCCCTTGACCTGCTGGCCATGCTTCTTTTGATGCAGCCCAGGATACGTTTGGCCTTCTGGGCTGCGATTGCACATTGCTGGCTCATGTTGAGCTTCTGGTCAATCAGCACACCCAGGTCCTTCTCCTCAGGACTGCTCTCCAGCCATTCCCCGCCGAGCCTGTATTTGTGCTCGGTATTGCCCCGACCCAGATGTAGGACCTTGCACTTGGCCTTGTTGAACTGCATGAGTTTGGCTTGGGCCCACCTCTCCAGCCTGTCCAGGTCCCTCTGGATGGCATCCCTCCTCTCCAGCATGACTACGTTGCCAAACAGCTTGGTATCATCAGCAAACTTGCTGAGGGTGCACTCGACCCCACTGCCCATGTCTCCGACAAAGATGTGGAACAGTACGTGTCCCAGTACTGATGCCTGAGGAATGCCACTTGTCACTGCTCTCCACTTGGACATCGAGCCGTTGACCACAACTCTCTGAGTGCGACCATCCAGCCAGTTCTTCATGCACCAAGTGGTCCATCTGTGAAATCCATGTCTCTCCAATTTAGAGACCAGGATATCGTGTTGGACGGTGTCAAACGCTTTGTACAAGTCCAGGTAGATGACATCCCTTGATCTTCCCTTGTCCACTGCCGCTGTAATCCCTTCATTGAAGGCCACCTAATTTGTCAGGCATGACTTGCCCTTGGTGAAGCCATGCTGGCTGTCACCAATCACCTCCTTGTTTTCTATGTGCCTCAGCAGAGTTTCCAGGAGTATCTGCTCCATGATCTTGTCAGGCACAGAGGTGAGACTGTCTGGCCTGTAGTTCCTTGGGTCTTCCTTCTTTCTCTTTTTGAAAATAGGGGTTATGTTTTCCTCGTTTCCAGTCGGCAGGAACCTCACCAGACCACCATTGTCTCTTTGTGTGGCATTGTATAAGAGGCACCTCCTCTGGTGGACTCTGGGCCCTGAGGAGCCTTCTTGCCAGCTGCTGGAGCCCAGCCTAGTGGACCTGGGGGTCCCTCTGACCTAGGCCAGTGGATGAAGTTGTTACTTTCCTGTTTGCAGGCTCAACCAGCAGCAAAGGTGAACATGTATGCCAGAGATGCACATATGCAGAGGACCCTAACACAGCCAGCTGCTTAGACTGCCCACAGACAGGGCACTGCCTTTAACAACACCCACATATAACACTAAAAGATCTCACATAAAACAGATGTACAAACAGCCAAATCCCAGTCCTCCTCTCTGATTGATCAGGATTGAAGCTTGCTAGTGAAAACACAGCCCCATACTCTCTAGTTCAAAAGGACAGACATGTTCATGAACCCCTTGAATAGTAGCATAGGACCTCAGCTCATCTAATACTGATGTCCAGATCCCAGGCCTTCTATTCACCAGATAGTCTGGCTTGAAGTCGGTTAATGAATTACATGTGCATATACATGCATATGCACACACACCCCACAAGGTTAAGGGAAAATAAAAACATTCTGGTCTTCCCCTGGCTCGTGGCCAGGCACACAGGTCCTATCACTCTTGGTCCCCTCTCCACTTGCTGATACTGGGACTCATACCTGCTCCAGCTGGCACCAGGCATGGGAGCCACCATCACCCAAGGTCTGATGCCAGACACTAAATTCACTCACTGCAGACACACACTCTTACAGTCTTCGGTCTCCCTTCAGGTCCTGATGCTGAGACCCTCATGCACTCCAGCTGCTGGCTCCGCAGACATTAGGACCACTATCACCGCTGGTCTAACTCCAATTGCAGACCCCAAATTCAGTCACTGTCGTCTCTCCAGTTTCTGGC